AATTAGCACAAAGTATGCATAAGACTAATGTATTTGGGATACAAAAAATGGCGCAAAACATTTCTTTTTGTCTCCTAAGAGTATAGACAGTGCAAATAAAATTTGTAGAAGTTAAGGTCCACCTACAAAATGAAAATGAAGATTGGCTTCTTTTGCTTGATATTTTTTTTTGTTTTGGTCGAAGCAAGGATTGTACTATGTAAGATCCACTGTTGTGTGTTATTCGACCGGCTTATTCTTTACTTCCATTCGATAAACCTCAAGATCTTCCTGTCAATTCATTCACATGTCAACCCACCTACACACTGCGCTCCATCTCCTGTGTACCCTGATGGACAAGGTCCACATTCATATCCACTGGAATTAGCTGGTGGAGGAAGATCAGTGCACTCAACTCCCGCGTAACACGGCTCACCATTCAATTTGCAGGCATCAATGTCGCTGTCACAGAACCTTCCTGTGTACCCTCCCTGACACACACAGCCCAGGTATACAAACTTGCTGTCAGTGTTTTCTGCGTCGCCTTCTTCTGGCTCTACGCATTGACCATCATGTTGGCACGCGCACATTCTAATGGTTGGACTCCAAATGGCGCTGGCACCTTGGTCGTCAGAAGCAACGAAAGTCAGATTGATCTACAAAAGAAAACATTTTTTTCAATGTTTGTTAACTTTCTTGTTCAACCAGGACCATTGTCAAATCCACATTTTAAGTGCCGTACGTTCAGCAAAAATTACTAGTTACGGATGAGGAACCATCTAGCCGTTCTACATGTAGTTCTGTTCTGGCCTCTCGTGATCACATAATAATTGTTTGGTCAGGCCTCTGTTAAAATGAAAATATGACCTTTCTTCTTCTAATCTCGTTAATTATTTCGCAACGTTATTCACCCGTAATGGTAAATTTTCGCTATAATTACGAAACTAAGTATCTTTATTATTATTTATTTATTTAAGGATTTGTACAAGCAGTATCGGAGCAAAAACAATAGCACATAAGTCCCCTACTAGGTTTAAGCTCCAACCATGATATAAGTATGATACACGGAATAGCAGCAACTATCGTCCACATTGTAGAACTAATATCAAAAGTTCCTCAATAACATAACTCGCCTGTATATACATCGTGTGAGGAACCCGGGTGTTATGATCGTCTAGCTTTTATTAGGTTCCTCGCACATTGTATATAGATGACTCTATACTGTAATTTTATCTAGCTTGGTAATAAATTGTTGTAAAATGATGTTATCATGGTTATTCCTTTAGATTGATGTAAAAAACTGTAATTTCTTTTTGTGTGTGTATAAGTGGTAAAATATTTAAATAAAATAATAAATCTTTTTCGTTTGGTATACTCTAATCTTTCATTTAGTTATCTAGCTATCAATCTGTTTTTTTTTTCTCATCTACTTCTCTATCGTAAAAAAGGTGTATTTTGCTTCGAGTTGGTCAGTTATGAGTTCTAAAAGTAATTTTGACTTCTCTGGTATTTTTCCGATTTATTTCCAGTTAGTAACATCAGTGGAGAATCAGTTGCGCAGACTATCAGATTATATAGGTCATAATCATTCTAATTATAAAATAATAATGATTATAATGGTGAGAAATAAAGGATGAGTGCTTGAGCCAGGGAGAGGGTTTGTGATCATAGCTTCTACCTTCTGTGATGACGTTACTTTCCAATGAAACAACAGAACGTTTCCAGTTTGGTTCCAAGTGGCTCCCACAGGTTTGTTAATCACGCGAAACGTGATGGCGCTGTCGTCCTCAGCTGTTATGTCCAGTTCAATTATTTTGTGAAGTGTGGCGTTTATTTCATCGGAAGTGTTTCCTATCTTAGGTGGAAAGTTGTCTGTGAAGGCACAAAAAAATTTTTTTTATCCCTAATTCATATGAGAATATAGGTTTAAGCTTCTGATTTTTAAATCCAATGCAGGCCTAAAAACCACAAAATCATTAACTTAAATCAATATCACTTTGAAGTTCACTCTGTTGTCTTCTCCATGTTGTTAACGTTGATGAAAGGAAATAATTTTTCTCTGTCCAAAGGATAATGTGAGCAGGTTTATATTTAGTGTAATATACCACTTGAATAATAGGTGGACCTATCTTGGAAGTTGTCTTCATTAAAGAGCTAAGAACAAAAAGTTTAAAAAAAGAGTTAAAAAAAGAGGTAAATCTACTGACTTAGTTGTTTCGATTCATTCACCAGCTGGACACTTATATCTTTGGTTGCCAGGCCCACAGACAAGTCGTTGGTGGAAGCTACATCAAACAGACACTCGTGATCATCTCCACATTGTGCTTTAGCTTCTTGTTCTATGCTGTCATTTTGCCAAGTGATGTTATCAGCAAACATAGGTACGAAATCAAGGTCCGAAAAGCTGGCCACGCTTTTATTATCAGCATAAGTGAAAAGAGACTGGGACTGGTTGATTTGCCCTAAACGACATAGGTCAAAGATTTAATGTCATTAGAAAACAAAATCGGGTAAGAGTAATCGATGACTGAGTTTGACTTTTAATGAGACAAATTGCAGCAAAACTTCCATATACTGAGGCAAGAACTTTAAAGCCAGAGTTCATTTTCATATTTTGGTCCCTATTTTGTGCAGATTGTTGTTGCAAAATCCCGTTTTGGGAACCCCTTTCCGTTGTGTTTAATTTGGGCATCATGGCAGTTACAAATATGTCTGCTATTGTCCATTGCTAATATATAATGTTACAAATGCAAAGGGTAAGTTAGTGTGATATTTGATGGTGGTTGTACTTACATTTAACACCAAAACCAAAGTGAATCTTCCTCAGTGACGACGATGACGACGATGATAAAAGTGTCCCATCAGGCAATGTAAAGTCATCTTCAGTGTCATCGTTCCATGTTCCCAGCAATCCTTTCGTGGCGTTTTTAAACCTATCTCCGAGAGTTACAACAAAGGACATCATCTCCTTCTTCTCACAGAACTGCACTGACGATGTTGACGGAAAGGAAACTTGTAAACAGTCTTCGTCTATTTTGGAGACAGAAAGATTTCTACCAACCTCCTCAGTTTTGTTTGTTAAGTTGTTAAAGCCATAATAGGATTCACTGTCAATCAATATATGGAAGCCACCTTGGCGAGAAAATTAAAAAAAAAAAAAAAATTAGAAAAGTGCACCATTTTAACCCTTTTTTTTTCTAAATATCAGGGCATAAACGTTCATGTAGATACCAAGATTTTGTCATTACACATCTTTTCCCACTAGATGGATCCACTGTGAATTGGATCCCTTGTAAACACTCCCTAGAAAACTATCCACTCAGTGTGTACATCCTGACTGAAAAGGACTGTTCTCACAACCTCCGCACAAGACAGTGCGTGCGCCCGAAACTTAATACTAAGCGTTTTATGTCTCATTTATAATACAATACAATACAATAGACTTTTTTTCAAGAGGGTGGCAGTAGTTAAACTGATGATCCTGTGGCCCTCTACTTATGTACCTATATGCAATACTATTTAGCAATTACTCCGCGTGCGCGCGTTCGATTTGAGATGATAGATAGCCAACGAGGCGCGTAGCGCCGAGTTGGCTATAATCATCTCATATCCAACAAGCGCGAGTGGAATAATTGTTTTATTAAAAAAAAAAACGCCCCCAAGATATTAGACAAATCTTCTTGACTTTACTTTTAAGAAGAAACCGGATGTTATAATGTACAGATAGTAGATTATGGTATATTGGCTCATATACCACGATGGCTAAGCCAACAAAAAGTCTTGAATTGCATTATCCAATGATCTAGTTTCTAATAATAAGTGTTATTTTATTATCTATTATAATTAACAGAAAATCCTTTTAATTAACAAAGAATCTAAAATGGCGCACTGAAATTGTTAGTTTCTATCTGGCTTTTTAATAGAGTGTTTATTAGTCTCCTTTTAAAACTTGTTGTGCCCTCAGAGTTTTTGATAGATAGGCTAATATTTAGTACAATTTAGTGTAGGTGATTAGTGAATTGACTCTTAGCCCGTCTTTCAGTTATTTCTATTTTTCTAATCTCATTGTAGCATAGGATAGTATATATTATCTTACGACAATTTTGTGACTTGGTTTTGTCATTATAACCATCCGGCCAATCAACCGACCAAGTTAGCAACGTGACTGTTCATTAACCTCATTAATGTTTGGTTCCGAAGGGACAATTTGACAATGGTATCTAGACAGGATCACCTTCTTGAGCCCCAATCCCCGCCCCCCTGCCTTCCTTCGACCGGTTAAACACGCTTCTTTTAGCTGCCATTAAAGGAGTTTTCTTGTGCTAATTGTGGCTCAGCGTGTTTCGTAACTTCCTCGAACGAAATGGAAACATTCAAATTGGTTTTATACGGGATTTTATCCTCTGAGCTTACACACCAATCAAGGTCATAACAATTTCTACCTTATGAAAATGGAATTACTCTGAATTTATTTTCTGTTACAAAATTTGTTACCACCGCGTTAATGATTCCTTCGCGAGCTCACCTCCGTCTTTCACCTTGACCTCAATGGTGCTCGTATTTTCTTCTTTAGCTACTCCTGCTGAGAAGATAGTCGCTTTTGTTGAATTTCCTTGAGCAAGTTTTGTTCTGGCCTGAAGTTGAAATGTTCCGTTTTGTGCATCGACCATAATGTATTCACCAATACCGTTAAAAGTGTAGTTACCACCGTCCAGTGTCTTGATATGAGGATCACCCCAGAACCATCCTATATTAAAGTAGAAAGAAGAATCATCGTTGTGGCTTTGGTATCACACAGGGTTTAAATTTTAGGAAAATGGTGATACTTTTAAAACTCATGGAGGGTTCGAGGAAAATTCTCTTTATCGTGCAATTTATCAATGTTTCAATTATCGCCTCAGTTGACCAGAAAATAGTAAAGGAGCAGTCGTACTTAATGACAGGATTTTAATTGTATCCAAGAGCATTTTATTTAAACTAACTTAATACGTCAAGATCCACCACTATGTCTGAGATAAACACTTACGTCTAATTGGAGGTCTGTAACCGGAGCAGTCATTGGACGGACGATATTTATAAAACAAATTACAGCGGGGTATGTCGACGCAGCAAGATTTGAAAGCCTCCTCATCTGTGTAAAAGGTTTCCTTGCTATTGTTCCCGTAGAAGGTTAAAGTGACTTTTATTCGTCCACCGTCAGGTGGTCCTTGCTTAAGAGCGGCCCAGTCTTCCCATTCCCTAGAGTAACAGCACTGTTGTCTCAGCAAAACATCTATACGCTCAGTTTTCTCCGTGGAAAGAACAAAACGCCTGGATCGTCTAGACTCAAAACACCAGTTTGGCCATGAGTTCCACCAACTCCACCTGAATCGTCCCCAATCAAACCTTGCCTGCCGACCAGTACAAGGGCAGGCCATTTCCGGGTCTGATTTTATGAATTGGTTATACCAGGTGAGAAGATCCCAGTCTACATTCATTCTGGCCCAACTAAAGCATTTCTCCTGTGCACCTTTTCCGTCGCTGTTTTCAATTCTCCAAAAGTGTCTTCCCACCACACCCGTGTTTCCTTCCTTTTTATCGAGTTTACTCATTCCAAATGTGCCAGAGCTGCAGTTAGAAATGATTAAACTATACGACCTTGATTTGTTATTAGTTGAAGTTACATTTAGTTTTCAAGGGTATTTCAGTGGGATATTTCTGATGAAATTTAAAGATTAAGGAATCTTCGTTTACAACGATTGCAGATGGTGGCTTAAAAATTCCCCAGATTATATAATTAACTTGTTATTTCTGTGGTTATTTCAAACTCCGAGAGTTTTCATAAAAGGAAGTGCACTGTACTTGACGTGGATAAAATTTCTCATCTCTTGGCTGAGTCCACTGCTGTTTTACGTAAGACATTTTACTCATTGGCGAAAAAGACTTCAATAGAGCTGCAATTGGCCCGTATTCCCAACAGATTCAGTTGCCAATGTATGGAGATTCTTTGGACTATCCTACCTACAAAATATTTTGGCCATGAAATACGGTGATCTTTCGAGGTCAAACCATCTTGATTAGCAAGTCAAATATTAGATAACAATAAATGTTTTGTATCCTAAGAAAGTATTCAAACGTTTCCTCGCCACTGTCTTATATTTTCAATTTGGTATCCTTTCTTAACGCCCCGAGAGCTAACAAAAGATGTTTCCCGTGGTCAAAATCTCACGATTTTAACCACCTTTCATTACTATATATAACCAAATTCGTAAAGAAATCGCTCCTTAGTGATTCGATAATTTTTACGCAAATTTGTTTGAATCAGTCTTACCCTTTCAGGTTCTCAAAATTTTTGCCATTGTCCCCTGCATTCCAGCCGGCTACAGGAAGACCATAGTAGTTGGTCCAGTATCGGTAGTACTCCCTGAAATTATAATTTAAAAAAAACGCTCATAAAGAAAGAAGGATAAATGAAATAGTTTGCAGTCTGGGCCTTATTTATGTTAAGCTAAGCTTGTGGTACTCCCAAGTGCTTGTCCTCTGTAAAAATACCCAATAATTTAATGTTTCTTTTGACTCAAAGGAAAGTACTTCGTCTCTGACAAAAGTGAAGTAAAGTATCACATCGCAGCATGCAAATAGAGGTCATGGATGATTAACAAACTTAAAAATAGATATTGATGCAATAAGTCCATAATTCATAGGAATTATTTAGAAAGTTTAAAAATGAATCAAAAGTGGAAAACAAGTGAAGAATGTGTTCCCAGTCCTTTCAAGTTTATTACAGATTCTGATTTTGACTCTCAGTTATGGTGAAGAGTACTTACGGCTCTGTGTCAACCAGCCACTGTATTCCTTTAGAGGGGTAGTTATACATCAAAAATGCGTTAAACCCATTCGTTATTAAGACAGCTTGGAAGGTGTTACTCTGGAAAACAGTCCCAAGAAATACGTTGAAGGATAATTCAGATTTTCATATGTAACTTGACGGAATTACCTCCTCAGATATACTTTACACGTTACAAAATGGCTTCGTTAGATATCAAAGATGATTGGAAGGCTATTAGTCACGTAGGTAAGTTAACTCATTCAAAACTTCGACAATAACTCTTGGTTCACAATCAACTCCTTCTTGGTTTTTTGTTCAATTTTATAAATTTTAAATACGCCAAAATCATGAAAAGTTTCCAGCCAAGAAAGCGTCATCGACCTTGTCCTCCGGTTCCGATTCTGCCGTCGTCCACGTTAGCCGATCAGGTTCCTGAAACTCTCTATTAGCAGGTTGTATTAGAGGCAGATTATGTATTTTAGCTTACAGTGTTTTGACTATTTGAATGTTTTATCTGGTGTCAATTTACTCTATATTCTAGAAAATTAATGACTATAGTGCATAGTGATTAAAGATTCTGACTTAACTTTCCCGATTATAGTGTGCATCATGTTCTCCAAGTATTTGTTTTCTTACTGTGGTTGATCAAGTGTTTTGAGAAATCTTTCTTGTGTGAAAAATGTTTTCACTTGGGTTCGGAGCGATTACAGAGTCGAGAAACAAAGGAGGTTCTATTCTTGTATCAATCCTGCTTCTGTGAAACTTAACGAGTTTATTTCACCAAAAAGTGAGTCACTCTGACCTAAAGTTGATATTTGGTAATTACATTTACTACATTCATTGTTACAGTAACGATAATGATAATACTTACTCGACGACAATTCAACGTAAAATTCTTCTCGTTGATATTTTGGTAGTAATATCGGTATGGATAATATACGTATGGGCAGAGCTTTTCCCAAGTCACAACAAGGACCCAAGTGGCCTCAAAGTCGCCAAATCCCTCGGTGTAGTTCTGCACATGCTTTGAAGCCATATCCAGAATTTCATTTGATGTTTCTTTGGTTTGGCTGTACACTTGATAATAAACCTTTGAATGACCATATTTGAAGGCAAAATAAGAATCGATTGTGGCCCAGAAGGGCGCAATAATACCCATGTTGTCGAACCACCAGTAGATACCAAATTTCCGAGGCCACCACCAGCTCCACTCATAATTCAACTGGATTATACCATTGCGACAAATCTGAAAAAGATTTAAAGGCTATTTAAACAGTATGTATATGTGTAGTTTCTGGATGAGTAACGCCCTGGTGAAACATTTTGGACGAGTTAATTGGTAATATCAACTAAATTGAAATAGTAAAATGGCCACCGTAACAAATAAAAACGCTGACGTTTCGAAAGTTAGCCCTTCGTCAGAGCGAATGAAAAGTTTTAGAAACTTTCAGCCTTTATTCATTTTGGANCCGAGTGGTATTCCACAGGCAACCTAAGGATTTCTATGCGCTTTTGGTATAAGATGAGGTTATCCTCTTCTTTTGAGCTCATAAGATTTAAAGCTTATTAGAATTAAAGTTTTACTCACATATAACTTGTAATGCCTCTGCGAGAAAAATGGAATTCCAATCCAATCTGTCTTGATCTTCACGCCGCGGTCGGAGTAGTAATAGGGAAAATCGTCCAGACCGAATTCACTGTCATTTTGCTGCGATCCGTAGGGATACATGTTGCTTGCTGGTGGAATTATTAAAAATAAACGAATGAAATGGTTCTCATAAAAATTTTTTAAGTAATGAAAAGTGAGGGGACGAAGCTATAATTGAGGAAATTGCAGGAAAGAAGCCTCACAAAAAATTTAGGATTCAAATGGAGTGGAACTCGTGGGGGCTTCTTTGAACTAAGCAACATAGCAACATTTAAGGGGGGAAGCAAACTCTTGCGGGTTCTTCGTTTCCGTAAAGAAGTATGATCACAGTTGAATTGAAAAGAAGAAATAACCTTTATACCCACACTTGTCTGTTAAGTGGGATGTTAAGTTACTATTTTGGGAATACATGGAATAGTACATTAAGTATTGCAAATCTTTCTTTTTTTCAATAGTGTTGACAAAAGCATTAATGATAGAGTGTAACCTTTTCATTGACTTGATCTTCATTTAGCGCTTTCTTGACTATAAAGAGCGGTTTGAAAACAGCTGTTTATTCGATCCGTTCGAAGTTCTCAACCTATTAAATTACATTAATTTTATAACACCCCTTGTTTATTGGAGAATGATTCCGTGCAACTTACCAACTGATGGAGTGGGCGTGGGGGAAACAACAGCTAAAGTGAAGGAGAAAAAGAGAAAAATCAACCGCGTTAAATTTCAAGAAATTTAAGAATTCCTTATCGATTGATTCTAAGACAAATATTACTCTCAGTTTTCTGCCATCAAGTACGAATAAAATTTTTATCTGTCAAATTCACTATTTGTTGTATTTCTACCCTTAATCAACAAGTTACTCGTGTAATCTCTTCTCCACTCGTTGGCAAACATTGGCGATTATTTTGACTGGATTTCATTTGGTAATTCTTCGCTTGATGATGTTCACGTGGAATTTACAAATTAGAAAGAAAGGCTGTGCCGTGAAAACAGGCTTTTGGTGCGAAGTTAAGTTACCAATTCATTGTAAACAGTGGTTTAGCGAGGGCTATTGAATCACAAATAGTATTGTGTTCTAACTAGAACAACTTTAAATCGTGCTGACAAAGACGAAGAAATTTTTGTAACATAACTTTTATGATTTTTATGAATTATAACGAAGAAGAAATACTCATACCCCTGCTTGGCGAAGGGGCAGTTGTTGATGTGCTACATGGGCAATAACAGACAGAGGAAGCCGGAGGCGATGACATTCTGTACATAATGGTGGATGATACAATTTTCCGTCCGACGCTTGATGAAGAGGATGGACGAATTCCTGAGACCGAAGGAATGTCTTGCATTAAACCAGTAGATGCGGAGGATGAAGTGCTCTCTGAACCATTCACCGACCATGAGTTTTCTGCTGAAACTGAATGATTTTCGGCAAATGCGCTGGATGCGGAAGAATAAAGACCCTCCGAATCATACACAGACCTTGACTTTTCTGCCAAAGCTGAAGAAATTTGTCCAAAAACGATGGATGAATGGCTTCCTGAATCATACACCGACCTGGAGTTTTCTGCCAAAACCAAGAAACTCTGTCTAAAAGCGCTTGGTGTGAAGGATAAAAGGCCCTCCGAATCATACACAGACTTCTTCGAGTTTTCTGCCAAAGCTGAAGAAATTTGTCCAAAAATGCTGGATGTGAAGGATGAAAGGCCCTCCGATTCATACACAGACCTCTTCGCCGAGTTTTCTGCGAAAGCTGCAGAACTTTGTCCAAAAACGCTTGATGCGAAGGATGAAAGGCCATCCGAATCATTCACTGACCTTGAGTTTTC